GATTGTTGGCACAGCATTTGGCATTAGACGATTTTTTAAATCATTCAGATACATTTTGTCTTCAAAATGAGCCGCACATATTCTATAGCTACCCAAGTTGTCGATTTTTTTTCGCAAATCTTCTCTACCACATGCTATTAGCCAAATCTCAGCCCTAGAAATAATACTACCTATTATAAAAGCCATACCAATAACCCACAAGAGCAAAGTTGTATAGAAAACAGACAAATTCTAGAAATACAATTATACAAGTAGTGGTTAATCGTTCTCTTACCTTGTTAGGTTTTTTGGAAACGTGAAAAATGTCAAATTACAATTGTATGATTTGTTTCGACAGTTGCGTGCCCAACAAACCATACCTCCTTTGCCTTTGTTCATTTTAAGTAGAAATGTATTCACTTCAGCAGTCAGCACCAGAGCACAGAACTAGAGTTTATAATGATCTGTTTAAAACCTGTGTTTAAAGCATTAAAACTCGACTACACTTCCGGCGAAGTTGTAAAAGGACGGTCTTTGTTGCGCACTGCTGTAATGCGCAGAAGACGTGTTTACACTGCAAAATATTTTTCCTTCCGAGATGTATTTTTTGTTGCCTAATCGTCGCTATAAAAAAACAACAGAAATACCCCATTTCAAAATTATTATTGTTAAAACTCGATAATTTACTATTAATATATAACCGAAGAGGAAACTATTAAATCACTAAGTAAGTTCAAAAATAAGAACAATTTTTGTTTTCGTCGTTTTAGATTATGTGTAACGTTCTCCAAGATTTGGCCCCCAATTTTACACCAGCCAATCAGATGAACACGTTCAAATTACACGCGGAGCTGTGGTTTTTATTACTCTAACTATTTGTTATCCGTCCAGAGCATAACAACTCTTGCTTTACTATCTCCACAGAGATAGTAAAGCAAAATAATAAATGTACATAACCTAGGTAATAAAAGCGCGTTTATCACAATTGAAAATGTCAGCTTGGTGCCCGACTTTAAGTTTCCCCCCAACTGTACATGTAAGGTGGCACTGTGATGATAGAAACTCTTTCGAAAACTTCGGCTTGTCCAAATTCACAGGAACGCAGCTGTGCCACTGGAATTTTATCAGACCAATACGTTATACGTAAACTGACCATTTTTTTTTTAAGTCAAAACGGGACGTCCATACATACTACTAATAAAATAAATCTAATATAGATATACCATACATACAAGCATACATAACATAACATACCCCAGTGGGAAGGTTAACAATAAAAATAAACAGAACTTTTTAATCTTCTTTCTTTATTTTATGTTCACAAAAAATAAAAATATTTTTCTACTCATTAAGGTTGAAGTTTGTCATTTTCCCATCGCTGGCAGTGGATGAAATTTCATTTCACCCTCTAGTGGAAAAATACTCGGCCGTCTACGATTTTAACGGGTCGTCCAGCCTGAGCGTTTCGCAGCTAGCGAAACGTGTCGCGTATCGCCTGCACCGACCGCACCGTCCGCTTCGCGCGCTTCGAAAATCATGACGCCTAGGCTGGACGACCCGTTAGTGTTTGACGTTTAATACTGCTAGTTTACACAAGTGAAAACAATGAACATGAGTGAGACTGACGAAGTTTCTGAAGAAATTTTGAATGCTGCCAATGCGGCATTTTCGAATCTGATACAAGTGCAGTTATTGATACAGGAAGCAGCCAACTAAGTTTAAACAAAGATACAAGTTCAAATAATACTTACGATAAAAGTGTAAATATTATTGGTGATAATTGCACAAATTGTTCTATTACAGTTAATGTATTTCAAAAATAAAATACCTACCATAAACAAACATTTATTTCCTAATTTCTTAGAAAAAATAGTATATGCAACTCGCGGATGAAGAAATTTCAACGGCTCGAGTTTCTTTTTCGCACTCGCTCGTTGCACTCGCTCGTGTGAAAAAATCACTCTCGCCGTTGAAATTCAACTTCATCCACTAGTTCCATAATGTACTATTTTAGTATTATAAGTAGTTATGAAAAATAAGAAGCAATCACCAGCTTCATTAAACTAAAGCACCATTTATGTGACAGTAATTATTAAATTGCAACATAATATTATATTTTTAGTCGTACCTATTTATATTTCTTGGAGGAACAAATTTTCTTTAATATTGATGGTGATGATTTTAAATAAGAGTGGAATTCTTGGCACGTTTTGTTTATATTGACCTTCGTTATCAACATCGCCTTCAGAACTGAAACCTGCAAGTGATTTTTTTCAGACGTCCACAATTTATTCATTAAAGAAAATATTCTCTCTACTGGAGCATTTGTACCAGGTAGACATAAAATATATTCAATTAAAATACAAAAATTTTCATGTTGCAGATTGTTGGTGCGAAAGTGTTTGAACACTTCCACCCAACGAGTTTCTGTGTGAGCTTTTAAATTATTCCAGTCCGTAATTTTTTGTGGAGTAACGTAGTTTACAATTAATGAAAATTCGTCAAATACTTGTGCATCTTTAGTACTGTCAATATATCCCTTTTCAATCAATACATCCAATGCTTTTTGTACATCTTCCCACACAGGTACTTTTTTTAAATCTGCCCAATAAAATATCTCCATTTCTCTAGTAAGAAAGTTACTCCATTCTTCCAAATATTCACGACTCGTTTTATAAAATTCTGTAGCTGTTCTTTTCACAAAATCTTCATCGATATTGTCTGTTAGTTTTATGATTAAATTGCGAACAGTAAATGGAAGAAACTGATTGGTTTGTTTCTGAATCAAATTCTGAATGAGTTGATTGATTTCTTTTGCAGCGTCAATTGCCGATACAGTTTGACCTTCAACCTTCAAAATAGCTTGGTGAAAACTTGCTGACTGAGCGTGTAAAAAATAAAGCCATAATTCAGATGTGGGATCTTCAAAAAAGTCTTTTATTAATTTGGGACATTTTTTAATGCTCAAAAAATAGTTCTTTAACGGCTGGTACATTTTCAAAACTCTGTCCAAAGCAGGCATCAGCGCAAGCCAGTGAGTTTTGCTGTAGCCGAGCATTTGGTGATGTTCTATTTCAGCTTCAGCGCAAAATTCCTTTAGAGCTTCAACTCGAACCGTATAAATATAAAAAAATGAATATATTTTTACACTAATGCTTTCGTAATCTAAAGGTAGACCGTCTGCAGCAGATTTTATAGCATTGTGAATTATATGGGCTCCACATCCAATACCTATCAACGGTTTTTTTAGAGATGATTTTAATTTTGCTAACACATTATTAACTCCTCGCCTAGCTACGCCCCCAAAATTGACATTGGCATTATCGCCACAAAATGCGACAACTTTTTCTGTCAAATTATTATCTGTCAATACTTGCTGTAAATAATTGACAATGATATCAGACGTTTCACCTGGTTGGTCTTGGAGGTCTAAAATTTTTACTTGTACACCTTCGTAAGGTTGAAAAAAACGCACAAGGAATGGATATATTTTCTTATTACCGTGGTTTGAAGCGTCGTTTAAAATTGTAATACAGTTGGACTTATTGAGATCATCCTTTAATTGCTCGATTGCTGTACGCGCCAAAACATTTACTACAATAGCTTCTGTCTTCGTACGCGCGCATGTGAATTTGTGATCAAAACAGGATTGGATTAATTTCGACGCACAATCATTAGAGCGAAAACTGTGGTTTTCTTGTATAGTGTGATACGCCCAGACACCTTCGGCCGCGGCAATATTCAAATCCTTTGAAGATGGAGCGTTTGAATTCTTGAAAAAATTCAACATTGAAGAACTAGAAGCAGCGGCACGATTTGCATTTTTATGTTTTTCGGACTTCAAATGTTGTTCAATGTCACCAGCACCACTATGAGAAACACTAAACTCAGTGCGACACTGTTCACATCTGACATTGGACGGAGTATTATTTTGCTTAATAAATGGGTACTGTTATGTGCTTATTTTCTGTAGGAGCACAGGGTCGGCGGCAAGGTGGCATGGGCAGAGAAACAACCCCAGATACTAACTAAGTCTATTGCTAACACACTAAGAAGTTCGTTACAAACAAAAAAAACAACAAATATTAATAACAATACATTAATACTGACCCCCAATCCCTATCCTTAACCTATACCTCCCTTCACAGTCCACGGCGCCGGACCCTCTGGTGTATTGGGAGAAGTGAGGAGAGGCAGACTCTTTGATTCTTAGCCGTCTGGCGACTTCGCTCTTCGATTCCAGTACTCACAGCAAACGGGGCAATAGAGAGCCTCGACCCTCCTTCACAGTCCACGACGACGGACCCTCTGGTGCATTGGGAGAAGCGAGGAGAGGCAGACTCTTGGATTCTTAGCCGTCTGGGGACTTTGCTCTTCGATTCCAGTACTAACAGCAAACGGGGCAATAGAAAGCCTCGACCCCCCTTCACAGTCCACGGCGACGGACCCTCTGGTGCATTGGCGTATTGGGAAAAGCGAGGAGAGGCAGACCCTCTGATTCTTAGCCGTCTGGCGACTTGGCAACAGCTGTGTGGCTATAATTTCAACGTGATGGTAACCTCCAACTTTAGTAACTGTATTGTGGCGGTAACTCGTATGTGGCCAGTTCACGTTCTTCTCCTCTTCACCCACACCCACATCTCAGCCGATGGCAACGGAATTCCTTTATTTCACCGCAGTTACGTTTTGGCACGACCCTTTTTTTTTTTTCCACGCCTCCCCCAAAAAATGGCCGAATCCCGCAATCCCCGTGTCAACTGTCAATCCCCACTCCCAAACCGTGACCTCCCTGCGCGTCGTGCGTACCAGCGGCGTCCCACAATTCAGTGGCGTAACATTCGATTTTTAAAACATAACAGTACTTTGTTTGTAGGTTTACATTAAATGAACACTTGCGTTTCGGCATAGCTGTAGGTAAAATTTGTAATCGCACAAAACAATGGAAATCTTCAAATAAGTTACTAGTTTATCACTAAATTACTTCAAGAAACTGACTCAAAAACCATACAATAGCGAGAACTTTATATTTGTTGCGTGAAACAAATGACTGCGGAATGAATGCCCCCTCTCCTCTGCTCGTTATTAAGGTAACCGATAGCGCGCGCGCGCGCGGGCGGGAATCTCCAATCGGTCGACGACGCGTTTCGGTTTCGCTGGGCGCTCGTGCCGGACACGCACCAACATTTTAATTTTTCGCGCGGTTTTAGAAAACGGGACAATTTTGCGTCCCAGATCATTATATGGGGACAACGGGACAGGTGGTCCAATAAAGGGACAGTCCCGTTCAAAACGGGACGTCTGGTCACTTTAGTTATACGCCACTGAGTTACTCGCAAAACATGGTCGATTCGAATGCGCCGACTAGATGCGCAAACTTGTCCCGCCAGTACGAGTTGTTATTCTGATTGTTCCTTGTTCTGTGCTTCAACTACATTCCAACGCAACAGTAACAAAAGACAAAACAAAGAGTAGGGAGCGAGACACCTGCATCCGCTTTGCTGCGTCTGACGTCATTCGACTCCCGACAAAAAACAACCAAACATAAAATTCACAAATACTTATTCTAACACTCCCACTTATTTTGAATTTTAAGACAACAAAGAGTAAATAACTTCACAACGGTTCAAAATGCATTAAAATATTCATGCAAACATTTCAAAAATCTTAAAATTAAAATTAACTTGTAACTAACAATTAACTAGGACAAATGCAAAACAAAACAAAATTCAAATCAATCAGAACACAAACAATCTTTCAATACATTTTAACAATATGTTTCTTACAAGAGGTTTCGTAAGAAAATCCGCTAACTGGTCACTTGTGTTCACGTAATTTATCGAAATGCTCAGCTTTTCACACTCATCCCGCACAAAACACACTTTCACATCCATGTGCTTCGTCCTGCTGTGGAGCTGATGTGCTTGGGAAAGCTTGATTGCTGCCTGGTTGTCCACGAAGATCTTCATCGTAGATACCGCTATTCCTAGTTCATTCAAGATTTTTGTTTATAAGCATCGTTCGTGCACTCTCAACAATCGTTCTCATTTCTCTTTCTGATCGGCCATTCTGCTGAGGTGTGTACGGTGCCGAAAGTTCATGCAAAATGCCCTCTTTTCGTAGATATTCTTCAAATTCTTTGTTTATATATTCACCTTTTCCTCGATCACTTCTTACAATTTTTGAACGATTTCCGGTTTGCGTTTCAACGAGAATTTTAAACTGCTTAAATTTATCGAGCACTTCTGATTTTTGCTTCAGAAAATAAACGGTGTTGTAGCCACTACAATCATCCTTGAATAAAACAAAATATCTTGAACCACTAGGCGACGCAATATTTACAGATCCACAAACATCCGTGTGTATCATTTCACCCGGTTTTGTCGCTCTATCTCTCTTCATCCTTTTGTGCGATTTTCTGGCTTGCTTACCAAATTGACATGATTCACAAAATAATTCATCATTACCGTCAATTTCTAGATTTTCTACCATTTTTCTGTCAACCGTTTTCTTGATTGATCTACAATTTATGTGGCCAAATCTTTCATGCCATAATTTCATCGAAGCTTTCTTGCCGATGTTATTACACTCCACAAAATTCTTAACTCTAAATTTCATCACCCACAATTTTTTGTGTCTCACACCAATACATGATATATCTCTAAATTTACATCTATCTTTAGTCGAGTGATACGTAAAATTTCTGTCGGTCATAACTCCCACTGAAAATAAATTTTCTTCTCAAGCCTGGCACATATAGGGCATTATACATTGTTCGGTCATGCCACTCTCCGTCAAGAAGAGTTTGAATTTCTATCGTTCCTTTTCCTGCGGCTCTAAGAATCGTGTCATCTGCAATTTTTAGATGCATGGGTTTATCTGTTGGTTCCAATGCTGTAAACCATTCATTTTGACCTGTCATATGGACACTCGCACCTGAGTCACAAATCCATTCTGTCTTTTCGATGTTTGAGCTCATTGTATATAGGGCAGATATATCACAAATGTAGGCAGGATTTTCACTAGGTTTCTTTTCTTGTTCTTTCATTTCTGCCAATCTTTTTCTACATTCTCGTGCCCAGTGCCCTTTATGCTTACAATAATGACAGCTCGTGTTTTTCTTTATTTCGCTGATATTTTTCGTCTTTTTTCCAAAACTGGCGGCTTCCAGTTTGCTCTGTAAGGCTTTTACTTCTAAAGCTAAACGCGTTGTTTCGCTTTCATCATTTCCCGTTCTGGTTTCTTCTTTCAAAAGTCTGGCCGTTAGATTCTCAAATGTTTGATTTTCGATTGCAACTGAATCCCACGCAGTTCTAAATGCATTGAATCTTGTAGGTAAACTGTTGATCACCTTCGAACATACTGCACTGTTGCTGATAGCTTCGTTGACATCCTTCAATTGTTTGACAAGAAGTTCAATAGCCGAAATATGCTCTTTTTGCACTTTCAGGCATTTTATATTCATAAAATGTCTGCCATAATAATTCTTTCGAAATCTCGGTCTTCTGTTCATGAATGACTAATAATCTCTTCCACATATTTGCTGCAGTTTCGCAATTTATCAAATATTGTATCTGATCTTGACTTATCGTCGATAACAAAATAACTTGTGCCCTGCAATTTTTCTCATCCCATGTTTTCCAGTCTGGTGCCGTCCACAATAGGCATCAACTTTTCCACTTTTAGCAAGATGGTCACACTGAATTTCCATAGTTGAAAATTTGACCCATCAAATTTAGGAATACTCCCGCACTCTAGTTTAACCGTCAACGCGTATCGCGTAATTTATCACTATAGGACTCGAACGTATTTCGATAAACACTCTCACCACTAGGCCCGCACGACTCAAACGTGGCTTTTATTCTATTCACTCAAAGGGCTTAGCCAACGTACCTGGGGCCATAACCTGTGAATACTGTGGAATTGGCTAAAATAATTGAGTAGAATAAAACTTGTCTAGATTTATTGTAACGTCTTCATGCGACGACAACCAGAGTCAGACTTTAACTACATTCCAACGCAACATTAACAAAAAACAAAAAACAAAAAACAAAAAACAAAACAAAGAGTAGGGAGCGAGACACCTGCATCCGCTTTACTGCGTTTGACGTCATTCGACTTAATTTTTTCTTCTTTCTTCTTTTTGAATCATGTCAGCTCGAATTTTGTCCCAGGGAATGATAAAATTTGTTCACTGTTATTATACTGCATACTTTCGTCGCTGTCAGTAGGAAGTATGACGAGAATTGGATAATTTGTTTCTTCATCAAAATTCAAATTATTTGCCGGATTTAGACTGACAGTAAGTAGTTTCTTTGGTAGACAAATATTCTTGATCTCTATCCAGTAAGATAAGCGTTTCATTTTTCATTAATGTTAAAATCTCATCATCTTTAATAAAAGTGCCATCTGATTCTAAATTGTTTTTTCTCCATTTATGTCTAGCTTTTGGGAAGCTATAATAAAAATGTACATACAGGAAAATTAAACTTGAAACAAAAAAGAGGTATACACACCTTCTAAAACTTGAGTCATATATTTTTGTTTCAATTTTTAACACCAAACCATTGGTGATTTCTGTCCCTAATCTTATAAAGGAGTCACAATAAGGCCTAAAAATGCACGAATTTCTAAGCTATTAGTTCGATAAAAATGTAGGACTATTTAAAAACGTGGGTCTTATTGTCGCAAAGTATTTTAAAATTTGTATATTATTTGATATAATAAATTGTGTAAATCATCTAAAATGGGAATATACTGAAAAGTTTTTCAAATAGTTTTCTCAATAGTTTGACTTGAAGTTTTATCATAAACATGTTCAGTACGCATCGCTAAAAATATATCTCTTTTGGTAGAACAATAGGTAAAGAATTAACAATCTTATTTCTTCTATAACTGGTGGTATATCTTTTAATTCCAATTTCAATTTTTTCTTTAACTAACGATATAAATTTAAATAGCTTTATTTCCGTCATACTGTTTAACAAACTGTCAAAAATATTTTGAAGAAGTTCATCAAAATTATTTGAACCTATGTTTGTGGTAAGGAAAGGCACATTAACTGTAAATAAAACAACAAATATAAAATGTTTCATACTTGAAAAACTAATGCTACACGTTCCACACTAGTATACGCGTTGTTTGAATCTTTAAAACACTCATGGTAACAATAACACATTGTTTCACACTTTCTAGCTGTTAGATTCTTCATTTCAAGATTACCTAAAAGGGAACGCCAAAGGAACTTTATTAAAGTAATTATAATTTAATATACTTTGAAGAGGCAACTGTACAAATAATTTGTTTCTGAAAAGAACTGGTGTAAAAATGTGCAAAGATATTGACCGAAAATAAATTACATGATCGTTTTTCCGGGTTGGGAGCGTGTTAATTGAGTTTTTGGACTCAACATTTCGCACACTTTCGTAAGTGGCATTTTCAGGAGCAGGGTTAAGAAATTAGGAATAAAGCAAAAAATCGCGATCTGTGTTATCGTCAAGTAAAATACCCTTATTCTGCACGTGACATTTTCGAAAAGCTGATAACTGTAAATAAATTAGCTAAAAAAGGGAAAACAATTTTGAATCAAAAACATAATTATTACTTTCAAATTCATGGCTAAGTGTATATTACTAACAGAGATTATTGTATTGTTTGGAATATGGACAACAAAAACGATACGAATCGTTAAAATATATTACGACAAAATCTTTTGTAAGAGAATGGTAGACACACTGACAAAATTTTATTTAAGTTGTGTACTTTCGAAATTGGTACAAGACGTAGATCTCTTGCAATTAGAAATCCTGACATTTTACTGGCACAAAGAGAGAGGGAAAGAAAAAAATAGTAACAAAAATTAATTACTAGAAGTGTCTTCAAAATATTCCTAAATGGGAACAGCAGTAATAGAATAGCTGCTGAAATAGTATTTTGATGACTATAAATATAAGTAGGGACTTATATTCATTATCAATCGTTTAACGTAGGGAAAAATTTGCTTTAGCTCACCCTTAATATTTTTATTTATGTGTATATTTTTTCATTTATCAAATATTTACCTAAAAATCAAAATGATCAATTAAAAATTTGTTATGCGCGTCTTCTGGAAAAACAGCGTTTTCAATTAGAAGTGTCACTGCATACTGCTTTGCCAGTTTCACAGCTTGGAGGGCAAATGACTGAATCGGCCGATTTAGCAATCACGATTCGAGAGAAATTGTTCCACTGAAAGTTATTTATAATAATTGACGAAATTTCCATGTCAGAAAAATGACGAGTGCAGATATTACATTGGTACAAACAAGAATAGTCAACGATACTGAAGTTACAGACTATGCAATAAAGCTCTTTGTCAAAAATGAATTCAACGTCGCTGTCGCTAAAGATGTCATCATGACAAAACTAAACTTAGCAACTAAGAAAAGCCTGCTGAAATCCATGAAAACTAAAAAATGTTTAGGCTTAAAGTTGGCGTTAAGTATGTGTTCATAATGAACACAGACGTTGAAAACGGATTGGTAAATGGAGTCCGTAGAACCTTGAGACATTTCTCAGGTGATGAGATGAAAATCAAATGATAAAAGTGCTTTGGATTGAATTATCCGAAGACAGGATAAGTCAAAAATTGAGAAGTAAATATGTGAATTTTACAAAAACCAATAATGTGTGCACACACCTATGTAATTGGCCTTTAATTTGAAAGTAAAAATTTTTTTTTAATTTTTTCCCCTTTTTTATCTAATTCATACATTTATTTTACTGTGTGGAAGAAATTTAATCAATACCAAAACTCCACGCTTTTTCTTTTCCACATCAAATAAAACACTATATCAGGGGACCGGTTTTGCTTTATTCCTTCTTCAGCCCTGTACTATAGAAACAAATTTAAATACATTTTGGTGTTAGGATTTTAACTAAATTTCAACAAATATTTCCGTTACATGTCCAATGTAACCTCACTTTTCAT